TCATACTTATCTATTCTTATCTTAATATTATTATTAAAATTATTTCTTTTTCTTGTTTGTTTTATGTTTTTATCTTTTCTTTTAATAAATTCTTTCTCTTTCTTGAAATAATATAAAGTGAAAGCTAGTTTTAGAAATAGTATTTTGGCAAAATACTAGCTTATATTATTTGAAATTTAAAGGCCACACATAGCTATTGATAGTCTAATTGTTAGTACTTCTTCTTCTGGTTATATCTTAGGATATTTCTAAGTTTTAGTGACTAGCATATCCTTGTAAAGGGCAAGTAATTACTATGCCTAACTCGTACAAACTGACCAATAAGTTTAATCCCTTGAACCTCATTACTTATTAATAACTTTTTATTCTTTCAACTATTTTCCAGACAAATTTGCCTGAAATTTTGAAAAGTATTTATAATTTTTTAAATAAAATTAAAATTTATTAATAATATGGGGTATACTTTATATATACAATAGTATATTTAAAACATATTCTATATACTTTCTTATAAAAATTTTTTAAATTTATTATAAATTTTTAGAGTAATAAAAATTTAAAGCTTTTGCTTTAAAAATTTTTACTATAAATTTTTTTTTTTTTTAAATTTTCTAAATTTTTGTATGTTTTTGCTTTTAAAAAAAAGGATTATGTTAAACATAGCAGGTTGCAATTTCGCTATTGCAATATCACAAGATACTTTTGTTATACAAATCAGAGATTAAATTATTGTATAAACAATGGATCAGTTGTATTGATATTTTATAATACATAATATATAGCGATAGTAAATAATTATATAATAAATGCATAGTGCGTAATAAACTAAAGAGATCATATAAAAATAGTTAGAACCGTTTTATATCTTTATACATTTCTTAGATTAAGCATTCGTTTTATACCTTTATATATTTCTTAGATTAAATGCTGTTATTTTTAGTATAAATCATCGTCTCCAAGTTACTATAATAAGCCTGTGAAATGTCAAATGATATTCTGGGACCTTTGCTTTTCGATTCATGTGCTTCTATATATAACGAAGATATTGATAGTAAATTAGAGCTTGCTTTTTAGCAAAAACATTAAGTTAAGCCAGTCAGATCGTTGATTTTTTTTTTTTCTAGTAATTCATATATTTTCAAGCCACTGCGATAAACCTGTAACCATGTCAAATGATATTTTGGGACCTTTGTCCTTCGATTCATGTACTTCAACATATGGTGAAGAAAAAAATAAATTATTGTTGGTTTTTGGCAAAATATTTAAAAAGTCAGTTAAATTGTTAAATTTTTTTTTTTTTCTAGTAACCTATATATCTTCAAGTCACTGTGATAGACCTATGCTCATATCAAATAATAATTTGGAACCTTTACTTTTCGATCTTTGTATATATGAGGAAGAAGAAGATAAATTAGTGTTTGTTTTTTAGTAAAACATTTGATTAGAAATAAAGATGTTGGTGAAGTAATTTTACCACTATTGGTGAAATTGGGGTTGACTTGTTGAAATTTTTTTTTTTTCTAGTAATATTTTTAAGTCACAGTAATAAACCCATAACTACTACAAATGATATTTCGAGACCTTCGTTTTTTGATTCATATGCTTATATATATAGTAAAGGAGAATATAGTAATTTAGTGCTTTCTTTTGCAAAAAACTAAATTAAGAAATCAGTTAGTAATTACTATTTTTTTCTAGTAAACCTTACTTATGTCTACAAGTTGCAACAATAAACCCATGACTATCACAAATAATATAAAATTTTCACTTTTTGATTCATATGCTTATACATATGATGAAGATAGTAAATTAGTACTTTTTTTTTTTTTTTTAGAAAACATTGAGTTAAGAAGTTGGTTAGTTATCACTGTTTTTTTTTTTACTAGTAAATAATATACCTCCAAGTCGCAGTGATAAACCCGTGACTAGTTTAAATAATATTTTGAAACCTTCGCTTTTTAATTTATATACTTAACATATAGTGAAGGAGATGGTAAATTAGCACTTACTTGTAATTTTTTAGTATTTTTGTATCAATTGATCTTATCGATCTTTCTTTAACTAATTATCTAACTAAAAGATCATGTACATATAGCGCAAAAGCAATATTGTAATAACCAAGAATTTATACATTCAGCTTATGAACAACTAAACGATGATGAATTTGATAGTGCTAACGAAACTGATGATTTTACAATTAAAAATAGTGCTGAATTTCCTAGTTGGGAATCTCTAGAAAATATAATAAAAAAATATAAAACAAAAATTAGGTTCAAGGCAATAAAATTTTGAATAGAGCATGATAATACTGGTGTTATAATTTGATAATACTTCATTTGTGAAAATTCTAAAGAGTGTCAATCTAAAAAAAAGATTGTTAGTGAAAACCAAAGGGATAGAGAATTCAAAAAAGTTGGATGCCAGTGGCAGTTTAATATAGGATACTGAAAAAATCCTGATACCATAGTTATTGTTATTAATAAATTAATTGAGGCTCATAATCACCCCCTTGCACTACACCGGAAAGAGTTTGCCCCAAGTTTACATACACTTTCACAAAAAGTTCTTGATGAAATTAAGTTTTTAACTCAGGAATATGGTTTTGGAACAAAAGCCCAATATTGATATATTACAAAAAAATTTCTCAACCAACTATTATATGATCGTAATTTGCATAATGCTATATGTCAGTATAAAAATCAAATAGAAAATAATAGAGAGAACGATACATCGAATATGATAAAATGGCTTATGGAACAAAAGGAGCAGGAGCCGGGATGGGCTATTTATATTAAGTTTGAGGGTGTCGACAATAATCTTTCATGACTTTTTTGGATGTCACCAATTCAAGTAGAATTGTAGAAACGTTATTATAATGTGGTAGTTAATAATAACACTGCAAAAACAAATGCCTATAATATGTTATTAAACTTTTTTGTAATTGCCGATAATCGTCACCAAACAAAGATCGTAGTGCAATTACTTGTTCAAGACGAGACAGTTAGTTTATATAAGTGGATTTTGAATTGTATCTTAAGAGTAACTGACAATTTGCCTCCAAAAGTGATCTTTACTGATGCAGATCCGGCTATGATCTCTGCTATTAGCCAAACTTTTCCTATGACAAAACATAATCATTGTATCTTTCATATTCATACGGTGTGGGACACCTAAAGGCAACCCTAAATTTGAATATTATCGAATATTATACAGATATGTTACAAAAAAAGGGGGGCCGCTATTTTGTAGCCAAACCTGTTTGCTACAAAATAGCGGCTCTTTTTTAAAAATACAATTACCCGTTATCAAGATAAATCCAGTTAAAAAAGGTGCATTTTCATATAACCGACGGAAAATGGGACAGATAACATGACTGAAATTATCCAATCAAATTGTATTTTACATTTGATTGTCTAATAATTGGTCACGTGCTTTATTAAAATTAATTAAATTAATGCACACTATCGATAACTATGCAGCAGAACACTTTTATGATTATGCCTTAACAATAAGAGAAGAGTGAGCAAGACAAAAAGGCGAGACGAAACGAAAGGCGAGATGAAACGAAAGGTAAGACGAAACGAAAGGCGAGATGAAACGAAAGGCAAGAAGAAATGAAAGGCGAGAAGAAACGAAAGGCGAGAAGAAACGAAAAGGAGAGACGAAACTAGACAATTTGGAGATTATTTGAATTTAAAAAAAAAAAAAAAATAAAATAAAATAAAATAAAAAAAACTGCTTTAAAAAAACGGACTATAGTTAAGAGAAAAATACGTGCAAAGCTTCGTAAATATAACAATGTAAGAAAGAAAGTGGCCAAAGAAAGATCAAAGATGGCAGATATGTTAAAAGAGAAGGATAATTTTGAACAGAATTCAGAGAAATATAGTAGTTTTAGTCAGGAGGAATGCAGTAGTCAGGAGGAATGCAGTAGTTAGGAGGAATGCAGTAATCAGGAAGAATTTAGTGATCAGGAGTATGAAGGTGTAGATGAAGAAGAAAGAACACGAATA